ACGAGTATACTAGCTAGAAAGAAATTATTACAGGATGACATTCGTACCTTTAAAGATCATCTCAATAGACATTTATGTATAAAAGATCTAAGGGAGCCAAAGTACTTCTTGGGCATTGAGATTGCACAATCCCCAGCAAGTATTTCTCTAAGTTAAAGAAAGTATGTTTTAGAGCTTGTGTCAGACTCTGGTTTATCAGCATGCAAACCTAGCATCATTCCTGTGGAACAGAACACCAAACTCACATCCCAATAGTATGATCATGAGACAACCTCTTCATAAAATGATCCTCTGTTAAACGACCTATCCCACTATCAGAGACTCATGGGAAGACTTATTTATCTCACCATGACAAGACCCGACATAAGTTATGCCATTCACATATTGGGTCAATTCATGCATGGGCCAAAATAGTCTCATATGGATGCAACGATCAAGGTACTTAAGTATTTAAAGGGATGTCTTGGACTAGGACTCCTTTTACCACGAGGTGGGAATTTGGACATCACAGCATATTGTGATTCAGATTGGGGTACATGTCCTATGACCAGAAAGTCTCTTACAGGATTCTGCATTAAATTTGGAGGGTCTCTTATATCATGGAAAACGAAAAGGCAGTCAACAATATCACTTTCCTCAGCTGAAGTGGAATATAGAGCCATGACAAAAACAACTTGTGAAATGTCTAGATCCTTGGATTATTAAAAGATTTAGGAGTGCAAACAGGGAAATCAGTCACTTTATACTGTGATAATAAAGTTGCTAATGATATCGCAACAAATCCAGTTTTCCATGAAAGAACCAAGCATATAGAGATTGACTGTCATTTCGTCAAGAAAAAGATTCAGGAAGGGATTATCAAGACCATGCATATACAAATCTCGGAATAATCAGCAGATATTTTCACGAAGCCTTTATGTAATCATCAGCATTCTTATTTACTACACAAGTTTGGAGTTTTTGACATCTACAAACCACCAGCTTGAAGGGGAGTGATGAAATATGAATTGCTGAAGATATTCATGCTGAAATCAAGCAATTATTGATTTGCATTTATTTTATTGATTGTCGTAATATTTTGTTGTTAAGTAATTATATTTCTTTTACTGTATTATTTCATTGCCTTTACTGTATTCAAAGCCACTATATAAAGAGGCTGATGTACTCATTACAATGCATCAAATTTATACAAAATACAGTCTTCTATTCTCTCTTTTCTTGACATTCTTCAGCATTGTTTATACTACTTTGTCAAGCTTACCTCTATTGGCATTCTTCGGCAGTCCTCTGCCTCTTTTGCCTTCTTTCCAGCCTAAACTCTGACACTAATGATGGAATATGGAATGCATGCTAGAATCACGGCTAATCGAAGATATTTAGCATCGTTGATCAAGGCTGATTTAAAGTGATTGATTGATGCTGAATTTGTGTAATTGATTTCCTTTCCTTTGTTAACTCTTTAGTTTTTGTATAAATTCATCACTTGGAAAGAGTAAAACACAATTCAATATACAGAATACAATTGAAGTATTTCTTCTCTCTTTTTTCTTTGGCATACTTCGGCAATTATATATATTGCCTCTCCTTCTGCCTAGATTCTTACAGCTAATGTGAATAATAGAGAGTCATATAATTTTATCGCATTTTGTTTGATTTACTCTATTATATACGATTGTGTTTGTAGGCCACTAGGCTTTACACAATCGATCACATTATATAGATATACTATTGTGGTCGCTTGATATTCTTTCAACACAATATAGTTCGTCGAAGAATATAGATCCACAAAAATGACAAATCTTTCAGAATATAGATTCCCAGAACATGATTAACATTAGAAGAGTACATAACTCCCATAACAAGAGTGCATAACTGCTCCAATTCGGGATTTTCCTTGATAGGTATTGTGGTGGCAGTTTATATAATGGTTGCTGACATACAGGGACATCACAGTAGCTGAAAAATAAACCTTGAGACCACAGGTTCGTCTCCGATTTGTTTTCAGAGGCGTGAATGAATCAAGGTAAGTGCCCTGGAGTTTTTAATCCAATAATTGCGACAATTTATTGCCGTTTAAATTTCAGAATAAGTTAATCTGATTGAATGATCTTTGAGCTGCCGCTAATAGTTAAGGTGAACATAATATACCCAAAGTAGAAACATCCATAATGTTGATTTGCAGATGAGATGATTCTTCTTACACATCGATCTGGATCTGAAAATTGGCTTTTTGGGTTCTTCTATTCAGGTGGTTAATTTGGAATGAAAATATCAATTAAATTTACTTTGAGCAAAATAGATAGGTAATACCTTCATAAACGGGAAAAGGAATACAATATGAAGCCAAATTCTTGATAAGTTTGAAGGACTTGCAAATGTCAAAGAAACCTATAACATGCAAGAACCCAGGAAACACAAAAGAGTTCATAGCCAACATCTAAATATCAAAGCAAAAAGAAAAAACACATTTCAATGTAGAAAAAATGATGACCCTGTTATGCAAATAGCGAATGACTTGATTGTAAGAACAGCAGGTTCGATGAGAAACTCGGGGTTGCAACTTGCAAGCTTATTGACAGGTTAACTCCTATTTATTAAAGCTAACACATATGCTCTTTATTTTATAAAATTAAAATGATGACATTCAAGCAAAGAAAAAACTGAAACCGATAAAATAAAACATACTAAAAAGATCTTGCGATGAAGATGACATTGAGAGAATAGTAAATTTGATGAAATGGAGGCAAAATTGCATTTATGGGAAACGACCATGAAACCATAAAAAGAATTATTGAAAAAACAGAAGGCGACGAAGTTCAACTAAAATTCACTAAAAGGAGATGGCAAATCTCACTTGTGACAGTCTTAAAATGTTAAAAATAACTACAGGAAAGTGTGCTGTCATAAACTATGCAATAACTATAAAACAATTGCTCAAACCAAATTGCATCCAAAGGTACTATAGAAGGAAGACGTTACTAGAAAGAAACAAATGGCTCAAAGGAAATAGTAATCGCAGGGAGATATTGATGCAATACCATGTGCAGCAAGAGCCATAGACATTTAAACAGCTAAAAGTTTCAGAGCCAAAGATCCAGCAGGAAAAAGAAGAGATTAGCAGCCAAACAAATTCCTATGGTGAAAACATAGGATGCCTATCGAAAAGAAGAGTATTATTCATGCTACTAAAAAAATGTATATAACAAGTTTTTGCTTTCAGATACAACCGTACATAGAAGATGAGAAAACGCTACTGAAAAGATCAAAGACATGGAGAAATATGGAGTCCGAAATGCAAAGAGTACAGACGAAAATTTTGCAAAATTACATTCCAAGTAAAATAACATGAACAAAACAGTAAAAGAAACCAGAAAATACTTCTTCGTAAGGAGCAACAACCAAAGACTCCCATGAAATTGCAAATTTATTCCAATGCTATGTTCAAAATTTGCCATTTTGACAACGCATTAAATTAAATTATTTCGTATGAGATCAAAAAGGTCTAATAGAAAACATTTTGATCAGCTTGATCTTAGGTCAAGTTATTGAATCAAACTTAGTTTAGTAAACCATTAATTGTACTGCAACAAAACCATAAATTAAAGAAACTAATCAAAACCAAACAAAACCAAACTCCACATATACATGTACGATAAGAGAGACGAAATAAAACTTTATAATAAACATTCATCATTTAATCCACAGTAATCCATCATTCTTAGTTTATAAAACCATCAAAACCCTAACACAACACTGAATAAACATTAATTCAAAACCTCTCTAATCAAAACCCGTCTAACCTGACCCCGCCAGATCAGAGACCGAGTTCACTCACTTCTGAGCCGATGCGAGTGGGGGTGGACCGAGCAGGCTCTGCTGTTGCAACTCGAGCTCCGTGAACTGCTGTTCTCGGTCCATTTCGATGATGAGTGGAACCACCAGGATGAGGAACGTGGTCCCCGCAATCCAAGCCGCTTTTCCGGTGCTTTTGAGGAGTTTTTTGGTGACGTTGGCCGTGTCGGTCGCCGTGCGTTTGGTGTAGGCGACAATTGGAGAGTCCGATACGGCGCCGGTGATCCTAGAGAGAATTTTGCCTTGATTGGACGCCATGAGAGATTGAGGGAGAGAACGAAGGAGGGTTTAGGGTTTTTGATAAGACGAGGGATCGTGATTGTTATGGGCCGTGTAAACACATTTAAAGCCCATATATTGATTGTAGCCCAAAAAGAAGTGTGAGCTAATCAAATCGAAAAGGGGATTATTTTATGCTAGTAATACTACGCTCACAAATCTTTCTCACTAACTTTTTCTCACAAATGAGATATGTCAACTCGTAATTAATTAGTTTACAAATTGGTCTTGTCTGTCAAACAATGGATTCTGCTTGACTAAATACAAGCTGACTAATTGCGAGCTACCACGTCAGCATTTGTGAGATAAAATTATAAAAAATGTTTGTCAACCTATCTTTATTCATTTTTATACAAGCCCTTTGTGACATTCATTAGGAAAATGAAAGGGAGCATAGATCAGTGGATATAGATTATCTATATTATGTAGACCGTGATTTAAACTAAATTTAAATTATTGTCTATTGAAAAAGAAAACTTATTGGTTTCTATCTACTAATTATTATATCTGCCTGTCCAATTACGAACTGCTACATTAGGATTGTGAGAAAAAAATTTGTAAAATAGAGTTGTAAGCCAATATTTATTGTTAGAAATTTTACTCATGATATTTAATTTTTATATAATAAGACATAAGTTTTCGAATGATACAAATACAACACACATTAGAGAAGGAAAGTAGCATGTCCAATTGATGTGTTCTATTTTCTAAGCTTGGAAAATTTTATAAAAATAAAACTCTAAAATGGTTATTATAATTCAATGCAACCGCAAAAGCACTCGAAACTTCAAGATTGGATCATGTCATGATTCTCCTTAAAACACTTGCAATTTGTCCAAATTTAAGGTTCAATTAAACTATTCAAAAGTTTAATCAATGAGTCTAAAACCTCTCTTTATATACTGAAAGCATGGTAATGGTAAGTTTAGTACAAGTTCCAGTTCAAGGGATTTGGATATAACAGTGTTCAAAACGAAATCCCGCTTATAATACCCACCATCCATCTTAAAACCTCTGCACACAACCAGGGTTGAATTACATACCCAAGGAACTGAAACACTGAATGCCAAACCAGAACCTACTTTTCCATCACGTGAACTTCCGTTTTCCAATAGAACATCCTTGTATACATGGGAAACACTGGTTACATATTTTCCCATCGGTGGAAGCTGTTGACCAAAATATGAATTTGTTTCAGCAGACTCGAGAAAATCAGAATCGGAATGAAGGTTCACCACAACAGTGCCATGTTCAGGATGCAGTTGATTCCTGAGGGTGTTGATAAAAGGGGAATCTGGATCCCGAAGTTTATGAGGGAAGATGTCGTCACCATCATAAGCATCAATGAAGACTAAATCATACACATTGTTGTTTTGAAGGATAAACTTCTCAGCATCTGATTCATAGAGGTAAATTCTCTCATGGATGCCTTTCCACAGTACTTCATCATTGATATCTGGTTTCGACATGACTCGCTCACCTAATGGGGTCATAACTGAGAAATATGGAAAGCCCATTGCTTGAACTGAAGCAGAGATAACAATTGGGTCAATTTCGACTATGTGGACATCAGCACCTGAAAGAAGCATATAAGTTTGAGTCAGGTAAATGATGAGATGTTCAAAAACAGATTCGCAAGCCAGCAAAAGCATGCTCCAGATCCTTCCAGGAAGTTCAAAATGATAGAAGCATACAGCAACTATATGAGACATCTGCCTGACATAAGTTCTACATTATCATCAACTTCACACAAAGAATGAGACTGCTGCCCCAAGACAGCCAAAAGTGCAATAGATATATTTAAACTGTTATTTCAAATAAATAAAGACAATATGTCGGCTCATACACCATATATGTGGTCAGCTATTATGTACGATTTATTCTCATGGTATATAAGGAACTAATTCTTTCATCATCATTATTTTTCATTTGGGCATTAATCCATTGATAGGTTTGTCAGCTGGATATACACACAGCCATGATTCCCAATCAGTGATTCCCAATCAGTGCACCAGGAAACTGTTATAACTTGGATATCAGAGATAGCCAGATGACAAAAAGACATTCCTATACAAGATTTCCCCTTCTATTATATAAAATAGAATTTTCTTTTCCACTGACAAATTACTTAAAAGAAAATGTAAAAGTAAATGTTTAATTCTCTTACAAAGTAATATAAATTAATAACAACAAAAAGAAAGGTAGGGTTAAATGCAATATTAACACACTAGATTAATATGAATATGATACTAAAAGTACATTAGATATAAACATAGACATGTAGCTGGCATATCACATGTTTGATAATTCTCAGAAAGCAATTTTTTTTGTAACTTCATACTTTTATTTCATGATTTTTGCCATATTCATTACTTCTTCAGTAAAAGCACAAGCAGAAAAGGCAAGTGAATTTTCCCCACCTTGAATTTTACTCGCCAAGAATAGTGGTAAGCTCCCCCCTCCATGTCCAATGCATAATATATTCATTGTTTTCTTCCCATGCACAGCACTCATAAGATCATAGTTACACGATGCAATAGTAGCCAGCCCAGTTGACACCATACTCTTTAGGTCTGCACACAGACATTAAAACCATCAAAAGATTGCTGCAATCAAAATTGACAATCACACCAAAACGTTATCTACAGAGGCATGGATTAAAACAAGAAGCTTCAATTCCATTTTAGAAGCCACCAAGAAGTCATTATGATACCAATATGTTGCACTGTTAAAATGAGAACAATGAAATTAGCAAAAAAGTGTACACAAATATAAGGTATCACATCCATCATAGCAGAAAAACACAACATGAAAACTAGTCTCCAACAAATATGCTCATAAAAACTCAGAAAATGAGATATTGCATCCATCTTGTTATAACATCCAACATAAAATTCTATTACCCAATAAATATCCTCCTCTGATTTAGAATTTACCATGTGCAAAAGATCTTATGATCTAGAATTTACCGTGTGCAAAAGATCTTATGACACGTTCTGTGTTTTTCATTTCTTTCTATTAACGACCAAAAATAAGACTAATATATACTAAGACAGAAGGCTCTGAGAGAATCCTAGTCCATCAAGTACAATACTTGAGGATTTTAGCCACTTAACAGCATTGTCTAGTGAAACTAAAACAACAAATCTGACATAAAAAGTAAACTATAAAATGGGATTTACATGGAACAGCCAAGCAATGTGGTTGTTGCATTAAAAACACAGAGCCCGGCTCGGATTCTCTGTAGGCCGCCGTGATTTTAGCGGTGCTCTGGCGCGTATCCTCATTAAATCGAAGGGTGCGCCACTGGTATCCAAGCACTCTAAACCGTTCGTAATTTCCATAAATCTCTGTATATCTTTGCTCTAGCCATCTCTCCATTTCTGGCCACTTGTCTTTACTCTAAATTAATTACAAGGAGAAAACAAGATAATGAGTGAATGATCATAACTCATAAGTAAGCCACTTATGTACATGATTGAGCAAGAGAGGAACTGACCGGTCTAGAAGAAGGGTAAGAGAGAACAGATACTATGCCGTTTCCTTTATCAGAAGTTGAACGGAGAACAGTGTAGCCGTCGGATTCAGTTCCCCACCACTCCGATGAGTAAATCCCGTCGCCCTCGTCGTCCCATGACGGCGCACGGCCGTGTAAAGCGCCGATATCCCTCTACAGTTCCGCGCAGCTCTGTACCACATCACAACGATCTCTAATCGCGAAATTCAACAAAAAGCTTAAACCCAACGGGTTGTCTTTTATTTTTTTCAAATTAACGGACCTTAACCCAGGACGAGGTTAATAGGGATACTCAGTGACATCATATATTATTTGATTGGTTGTCTATAGAAGATGAGAAAATTTACTGCCCGGTCCCCCCAAGTCTGCATTTAAAAATGGCCTTGATACTGTTCATAAATATTTTTAATTTAGAGAAATGACGTGGCATAGTTAGGATTAATTAAACACGTAAAATGGTTAAAATGAAAAGATTAAAACATATGTGGGCCGAATCAGAAATAATGAAAGTTTTCAAAATTTGAAATTTCGCAAACAACCCCACACTCTATTCACGTCGCTTAATCGAAATTCATCAGTTGAAAACGCGATTTCTTGAACGAAAGGGAGACGCATTTTTTTCCGATCCACACCAATTGATTTGCACCCTAAATCAATTTCTTGAACCCTAAACCGAATACAGTCGCGATTTTCGCGATATAGTCGCGATTTTCGATCGATTTGTTGAACCCTAAGAACGATTTCTTCAACTATAAACGGAATCTGCGATTTCCGGCGAACCCCATATTTCCAATCCAACTACAATTTTCACACCAAATTCAATCCAAAACCATGGCTGACACTCACAATGACGACGACAACCCAACGCCACTTCGAATCCTAGTTCCGGTGGCTCACATTTCAATGGCTGCTCCGGTCGATCATCTGACCATTGAGGTGGTCCACACGTAGAGAGACCCGGCGGCACAAGAAGAGAGTGAAGAACCAGCACAGGGGTCTGAAGACGGAGTCAGGCGAGACTTCAGGCCAGAAGGAGGATTCCGGAGAGAATGCAGGCCAGGAGGTGGATTCCGAGATAATTCAGGGCAGGAGGAGTCGCCGGAGGATCCAGGCGACGAAAAGGCCGGCGAGATAGGGTACGTAGTTTGGGATGTTGCATTGTAATTTCGCTTAAGCGATCATTAGTATCGCTTAAGCATTATTCGGTTTTACTCGTGATCGCAGCATGATCGCTTAAGAGATCATGAGTGTTTACTCTTGGTGGCTTAAGCGATCTTAGGTCTGGGCAGAATCACGATTAAGAGATTCTCAGTTAACTTTTGATCGCTTAAGCGATTTAAAATCGCTTAAGCGATCTTGCATGAGACAGTAAAGATCTCTTAAGCGATCCATGATCGCTTAAGAGACTACAGTGGTTTTGGTTTATTTTGTTTGATGACATTTTATTTATATCGATTGTGCAGATTGTGGCGACCGTGCTGTAGGAGTACGAGTTGGAGCCTATAAGTGAGAAGGTACCCTACTTCCCTGCAAGGGTGACGGTGAGGTCGGCTGGAGGTTTTTGACAGAAATAGGCCATTTTAGCTAGAATGAGGCATGGTGAAAGAGTTTTTGGTGACACTTGTTTCGGTCAGTTTTTAAGAATTGGAAAAAAGTGGAAAAAGTCATTTTGGGGGCAGGAGTGCATTACATTTTGATGCACTCAGTAAAAAGCAAGAAAAAAATGAAATGTGGTTCGTGTGGAGGGAAAGCCACTACGGTTTGGTATGATGGAGTATGCGTTGGTGACGGGCTTAGGATGCGGGAAAGTGCCAACTAAGGCGAGGCAGACCAGTAAGGAAGAGTGCGGGAGCCCTAAACTTTTGTAAAAGGTTTTGAAAGGGGCAAAGTCTATTACAGGAAGTTTTAGAGAAGAGGCTATCTACAGTTCGGTTTATGTGATGCAGAGAAGATAAAGTGTGCTTGATATTGTTTTTGCATTCTATCTTATTGGCTGGTGACTCAACAAAAGCTATTGAGAAAGATTGGTTGCTGTTTGTAAGCGACTTGGAGTTCTTTAATTCTTATCCGTGGGGACGGATATCATTTGAGCGAACCATCAAGAGCCTGAAAAACCAGACATGGCGTTAAAGCATGCCGAATGGCGGGAAGGCTAAACCAAGCACGTATAATTTGTTTGGCTTCCCATGGGCAATGCAGGTAAATATTAATAGCTCTATGTTATATTTTTTATAATATGTGTGTTTGATAATGACATGGACTGTTTTTTTACAATGTAGCTTGGATGTACGGGCCATCCCTGTCTTCGCCAAGGCGGGGGAGGAGCAAGAATGTGAATGTGCAACAGCGATTTTCCTAGATGTTCGGTGGCATGTCGAAGCTGTAACCATTGGGATTATGGCCAATTAGAGATTGAATTCAAGCAGCGGGGTAAGATTGAAGGATTAAGCTTTTGAATATGCATTTTGCTTTTTATTTTGCTTCAATCTGATTGATTTTTTTTTCTTATTGCAGGGAGTCGTCCGTCCCTTTTTGACCCCTATTGGGATGAACGGAAGAGGACTATGTCACATCTTTCAAAGCAATGGAGGATGAAAGGGATGAACAGATAGACCGCCTGATGCGGGACCTAAAAGGGGTCACGCATGTGATGGCAGTTGCAGGCCATTGCTTACAATGTCGTTGATGCTGAGGATAATGAAGCTCGGGGGGCCGAGATGAGGAGGAGAAAGGGAGGAAGAGGTTCGTAGCCTCAGCAAACCGGTACAACAAGTACCGCTTTGCCGAGACATCGGCGTAGGGAGAATGAGTTTGTTGACCTCATCAACGGCCTGTTTGAGAGTTTTACAACAGCCTTTTATGCAAAGCTTGAGAAGATGGAAGAAACAATGAAGGTGGAGAAGAAAGTGGATAAGGTGGGAGGAAAGTAGTAAGTGGAGGGCAAGTTGGTACAATGGAGGAGGAATGTGGTGGAGAATAAAGGCGGTTGAAGTGCAAACTGGCTTGAAAAGAGAGACCCGAAAGAGCAAGTTTGTGAAATCGCCTTACATGGTATTGACACAGGTAAAGAAGAAGAAAATGAAAAACAAATGGAGGAACAACCAGAAAGGGAGGTTGAGGAGGTTGGTGGTGGAAGTGGGGCGGTTATAATGGAGGAGGGGAGTTGGAGCGAAGGAAGCGGGGATGTAAAATTGGAGAGGGGAGGAAGTGGGGAGGGAAATGGACTCAAATGTCGATTTGTATAGGCCAATAGAGGAAAGGAAAAAACTCTTTTATGCCTTTACAATGGATCGGGAATTGATGGCCATATAAATGTAAGACAGGGGATTATCCCCGGGAATGGTTTCAGAAGTTTGTCGATGGGGACGTGGCTTGAGGACTCGGTGAGTTATGTTCACTTAATTTTCCTTTTATTTTTCCTGTGTTTTCCATACTTATCTTGTTGTTTTTATGTGATGTAGCACATCGATAGATATTGGCGCTGATGAGGCTACGACAGACTAGTGATGGTGATCTGTTGTATCCTGACTGTGCTATCACCGATGTGGCGTTTGGGCAAACGCTTGTTTCGGCATATCGGTCTTTAATTAAAAATGCCGTTGCTAGTGGTGTAGCAAAAGGACCGAAGCGAAAACGATTGGCTGCACCAGAGTCGGATTGCATCCCTGATGATTTCCGTTGTTGATGATAGGATTATGCAGTACGTAGGGGGGATCGGCCCAAATATGGCCACGGTTGGGCCTTTGTTAAAAGAGTGTACTGCATCATCCTCGTCAAACAAATGCACTGGATAGCAGTCGCTGCGCATCTAGAGAGGGGTGTCTGAGATCCTTGACTGCAACCCACCATTTGTCGAGACAAGCAGTTGGAGGTCGAGTTGGAGCCACTGTCCAGGTTGTTCCCTCGGCTGTTGCTTGAAAGCGGGATGTTTGGGCAGTTGGGTGATCAGGTACTAACCGGAAAGTGGCGAATTCAGCGGTCTACCTGCCCAATAAATGAGTCAAGGTAAATTTTGTTTAAAAACTAACTTACATAACAATTGTTCTAAAGTTTATTATAATGGTAATGTCTTCTTCCTATGTAGCGCTGGAGTGGGCATATGCCCTGAAATTTATTCAGTTCGACATGACCAACAGCCCGATGGACAGCTTGAATGACGAAACAATGATAGAATGTCGGGAGCGCTGGGCTGTCGACTGCTTCCATGGGCAGATGGATCCGTTTTGAGTGACCAGAACCCAATCAAAGGGTATGAAAGTTGGACCTGAATTGTTAGTTTATGTGATGTTGATGCTCATACTTGGGTTTTTTGAGTTGAGTTTATGTGATACCTGTTATAATTATCATAAGGTTGTATATACATGTTCATTTTCAATGGTGTTTTGATGTGTACTTCAGAACTGCTTATTTAATTTGTTCTCATTGGCTTGGCTATTTTCTAATTCATGCCTTTCTCATATTATGGTGTTTTACACTGCAGGTCACTAGATGGAATGGTCATCTCCACAGAAAGTCAACCGGGCACCATAGTAGCCCCCTTGTAGATATCATCTTGAATTTGTTGTAGATATCATTGTAAAGAATTGGATCTGATATTTGGGATATATTTTTGTTTGTCCATATAAGATAATTCATCAGCAGTTTCAATTTACTATGTATGGTTGTAGATATCATATGTCTTTTAGTAATAGATAATTCATCAGCAGTTTCAATTTGTTGTAGATATCATATGTCTTTTAGTAATAATCGCTTAAGCGACACAGAGGTCGCTTAAGCGATCATTCGTATTTTAGTAATATCGCTTAAGCGATAGAGAGGTCGCTTAAGCGATCATTGTCTGGGCAGATGTCATTCTGCCTCGGAAAAATCGCTTAAGCGATCATAATCGCTTAAGCGATCATGAGTCTTTTAGTATAATCGCTTAAGCGATACAGGTGGTCGCTTAAGCGATCATTGTCTGGGCAGATGTCATTCTGCCTCGGAAAAGATCGCTTGCGATCATAAATCGCTTAAGCGATCATGATTCTTTTAGTAATAATCGCTTAAGCGATACGGTGGTCGCTTAAGCGATCATAGTCTGGGCAGATGTCATTCTGCCTCGAAAGGATCGCTTAAGCGATCATAAATCGCTTAGCGATCATGCTGTCTTTTAGTAATAATCGCTTAACGATATAGGTGGTCGCTTAAGCGATCATAGCCTGGGCAGATGTCATTCTTCCTCGGAAAAGATCGCTTAAGCGATCATAATCGCTTAAGCGATCATTCGTATTTTAGTAATATCGCTTAAGCGATACAGTGGTCGCTTAAGCGATCATAGTCTGGGCAATGTCATTCTGCCTCGGAAGGATCGCTTAAGCTCATAATAGCTTAAGCGATCATGCGTCTTTTAGTAATAATCGCTTAAGCGATATAGGTGGTCGCTTAAGCGATCATAGCCTGGGCAATGTCATTCTGCCTCGAAAAAGATCGCTTAAGCGATCATAAATCCTTAAGCGATCATGCGTCTTTATAATAATCGCTTAAGCGATCATGCTTCTTTAGTAATAATCGCTTAAGCGATATAGGTGGTCGCTTAAGCGATCATAGCCTGGGCAATGTCATCTGCCTCGGAAAAGATCGCTTAAGGGTTTACGATTCGTTCAGAGCACTTGTTCCGTTATTACATTTATATCAAACATATAGTTCCTTTACACGTCAGAAAGATCCTTAAGGGTTTACGATTCGTTCAGAGCACTTGTTCCGTTATTACATTTATATCAAACATATAGTTCCTTTACACGTCAGAAAGATCGCTTAAGGGTTTACGATTCGTTCAGAGCACTTTTTCCGTTATTACATTTATATCAAACATATAGTTCCTTTACATGTCAGAAAGATCGCTAAGGTTTACATTCGTTCAGAGCACTTGTTCCGTATTACATTTATATCAAACATATAGTTCCTTTACACGTCGAAAGATCGCTTAACGGTTTACGATTCGTTCAGAGCACTTGTTCCGTTATTACATTTATATCAAACATTAGTTCCTTTACACGTCAAAAAGATCGCTTAAAGGTTTACGATTCGTTAGCACTTGTTCCGTTATTACATTTATATCAAACATATAGTTCCTTTACACGTCAAAAAGATCGCTTAAGGTTTACGATTCGTTCAGAGCACTTGTTCCGTTATTACATTTATATCAACATATAGTTCCTTTCCACGTCAAAAGATCGCTTAAAGGTTTACGATTCGTTCAGAGCACTTGTTCCGTTATTACATTTATATCAAACATATAGTTCCTTTACACGTCAAAAAGATCGCTTAAGGGTTTACGATTCGTTCAGAGCACTTGTTCCGTTATTACATTTATATCAAACATATAGTTCCTTTACACCAAAGTCGCTTAAGGTTTACGATTCGTTGAGCACTTGTTCTGTTATTACATTTATATCAAACATATTCCTTTACACTTCAAAAAAGATCGCTTAAAGGTTTACGATTCGTTCAGAGCACTTGTTCCGTTATACATTTATATCAAACATATAATTATTTAGGAAATATCAGTATATTTTTTAATTAATTTTCGACCCATTAAGTGAATTAATTTCATTAATACCAAGAAAGGTTCAAAAATTAACAAAAACACCCCCACCCACCCAACTTCCCAGTTCTGGCTACCGCCGACAGCAACGAACGATCGGAAATGGCCGTAATGGCCAGTTGTGACCTTTTCCGCCATATCCACCGTCGATGTGGCCGAAAGGCCACATCTTCCCGTCATGGACTTTCAATGAAATGTCCGACTTTGACGGTCAACGCGCCAACATTTGGCCGTCGTTGACCGACACGACGGCCATAATTTGGCTGTCACAGACGGCAACCTCTGGATTTTCTGTTCCTCTACACGGCCAGTTCTGGCGGATCGGGGCCCTTTTCCGGCCACATCCGTGGTCGATCTGGCCGGAAAGGCCATATAGAGCCCTACCGGCCAGATCCGACCACTGTGCATCGAAACGCCCTTCCCCGGTCAATTCCCTCCGGTGGCCGGGGTAGTGGGGTTGTATCTGTTAATTTTAAAACCATTTGCAGAAGAATCGGTTAAGCATACAATGATCGCTTATCGATCATGTGATGGCAGAAGCAGATCTGCCCAGGTCATGTCGCTTAAGCGAATATTGCCTTTTTCCCCTGGTCGATTAAGCGATCGGGGATCTCTTAAGCGATCATGCACCTGGGCAGAATCAATCAGTCCAGGTGAAGGATCGCTTAAGCGATCCTTTATCGCTTAGCGTCCATCTGCGAAAACACTTTGTCGCTTAAGCGATACACTTAGTCGCTTAGCGATGGTGGGCATATATACATTTGCATCTTTTCTCCTGATTTTGACAAACTAAAATTACCAACACGTATTAATTCCATACTTTTTCCTCAATTTGACACCTAATTCCAAACTAAATCACCACAAATATTTAGACCATGTATAAGAATACACAATATAAAGGATATTTTATTAAAGGTAACAATAAAATTTAAAACATCAAAATTTCATCCTTCTTCGAATCGACCCTAATTACTTCTGGCAACTGCTTCTCTGTGACCAGGTTGCTTGCAAATTGAGCACTTATTCATCTTCGGGGAACCTCAAAGCTGATGGAATACGCTTAACCCTTTTTCTCCCCTTTGCGGCTTCTTCAATGGCGCTGGAGGATAATGTGCCCCCTGGCGCACTACCCACTGCTCTTCTGGAGGCACCGGTATATCGTTTCTGATATGCTAGCATGTAGTGATCTGTCATATAGAAAGGGGAGCAAAGTTCCATGTAAATTCTTGAACCAAAATCCGGCTTCCGTTGGTGTTTCAGTGCTGCTAGTGCATAGGACAAGGTAAATGTTGAATGTCAAGCACTTTACAGCTGCAAGTTTTTGTAACAGTTAACTAGGGCATCCGGACCATAGCCGCGCACAGTAAACTCTTGAGCATTAAGAGGATAGGCAAACAGTCTCATTTGACAGTTCCATATGTTCTCGCATATTTTTCAGCTGACGGAACAAGGGTTGTAGTAAAATTATCTGCTCCATACGACGCTCATGGAACCACCCCGACATGTCCTTTGGATTGCATCAAAATGCAACTATTGGAAACTCTCTTTCTATTAACAACTTCGAATTTATGGACTCAGCTATGTTCGTGGTCATGACATCAAACCTTCTTCCAGGAAAGTAGCTCTACTCCATCTCTCGAAACCACCATCATGCTCAAGATACTTAGCAACTCTAACATCCTTGATTCGGATTTGCTGGAGTGTTCCTCAAACTCATCAACCCGGTAAGCTTTTGCTGCCATGTAGTATGTCTGAAGGAGCCAGCACACTTAAACTTTTGTTTTATGTTCTCACCAAGGTGCCTCATACAATCCGTGATGTGCTTGACGGTAAATAGTGCGCATCCCCTTCTTTATAGAGTTGTGCCTATCGGATATATGCACAACTCGTCACTGTCAGGCACTATCGTACTAACTGCTGAAAAAACCAAGTCCACGACTCGTCATTCTCAGAGTCAACCACACACCATGCAACAGGATATGTGTGATTCTCGCTGTCCTGTGCAGTGGCCACCAACAATGTACCTCCATACTTTCCCTTTAGAAAGCAACCATCAACAGCCAACACCTTTCTCATGTTTACAAAACCCCTTATAGCAGCACCATAACAACAAAAAAATATTTAAACATCATATTCCTGTCCCACTTCAAAGCCGTCTTGCTACCTTGGTTTGTCACCTCAAGCATATAACGTACCTTCTAATACTGCGTACCCGTGCTCCGGCGTGCCCCTCACAAAATCTTGTGCATTTTGTCTACCTTTCCGCATTTCCATAACTAACAACACATCCCAACTCTGTGCGCACAAGTCTCTGAATGTCTTTAGGAGATGGACCTTTCCCTTCGACGAACCGACTTTTGCAAATTGTCCAATAACTCAGCGACGCTTGTCGTGCTCACCTGAAATATGTCCCAAACCACATGTGTGCTCACGGTATAGTGTGCTAAGAATAAACTTTTCCGACTCCGCCAACCTTCTACAATAAACCCGCCACTTGCAGTTTCGGTCACGACATGCAACCGTCACAGCCAATGAATTTGACTTTTTGGTGATGAACTCAAAATTACCTTTCACAGCAACAAGTTTTAGCTTCCTCACCACTTCCTCTTTGTTGTCAAATAAATACCCTATGCGCAAGTCCGATCCATCCTTAAAGACATGAGCTGATCCACTACTACCTCCAATTGCCCCCTTTGAACTTGCATAAACGACCATAGTGTTCTCTTCCTCACAATCTACACCTTTTGCATAATCTGTATTTAAAGGAATCTCTACATCTGGGAACTCTACGGGTCCTCCTCCTCAACATTTTGATTCTGCCCCCCATTACCAACCTCTTCTATAGTGTCTTCCTCACCACCCATTGACCGTCTACTCTTGATTTTTCAGCTAACAAATCAATGGCCTCGTAGTTCAAATTACAACCAGGCAAATCTCCGCCTACATCCTCGTTATCCCCTTCCTTGGAACCAACTTCCAACGGTTTTTCTACATAAAACCCTAAAAATCCCTCGAACCACTATCGGCCATATCAATCATAAATAGTTCACACTTTCATCCGACTTTAATACAGCAGGAGGTACCTTATAATTTCCAGGAGCTCTGCTTAAAACATACCTCCCACACTATATCACTACGCGAGCAACTCAAATTACCTCTTCTAATTATTTCATCAATCAACTCATCAAAACTAACCTCTGTGCTCACAGCAATTGGTGTAACTTCTTTGCTCTTCCCAATCCACTTCCACCTACTTTCTTCCTCCACCCACTCACCAAAATATTCAACACCCAAAACATTTTTTCCCATGTATAAAATACCAACTACCTGTAATGCAAGAAAAACAATATTCTTAAATGCTGTACTAAGTTTCAAATAGTTTAAAAAGAATCTGCACATTCGCATATTTGGTCTGATGTATCGCTTGAACATCATGGTTATTTATACTGGATCGCTTAAGCGATACACCTGATCGCTTAAGCGTTAAGTATAAATAACCTTGATCGCTTAAGCGACTTATGCCATTTACTGATCGCGTAAGCGATCTGCTCCCATACACAGACTTTAACCAGATCGCTTAAGCGATCTTATGCCACATACCTGATCGCTTAAGCGATCTATCTGCTGCATTACCAAACCTGCCGATCGCTTAAGCGATACACCGAATCGCTTAAGCGATCCATCGTGCCCAGAACACATTTTCAGTCATCTCCACCACAATCGATCCATCAATACCCAGAAAATAAATACCCAGAACTAATTTTCACACAAATTTCACTCCTTTCAACCTACATTACATCAAACCCAACCCACAACCTAAACAACTAAATCAAAATCATAACCCAAACCCCATCCATTATTAAATCTTTGTAAATCTAAATATAAAATGAAAAAGGAGATACACATACTTAGGCAAATGTCAGGAGGAGGAGAGGGGGATCTTTGCCGGAGAAGATGTTAATGGTGGAGAAGAGAAGTGTTAATGCGGTAGATGGGAAGAAGAAGATTTAGGGAATGAGAGAGAGATGTACAGAAGGAGGAAGAAGAAGAAGATGCAGAGGAAGAAGAATGTTACGACGCCAAGAAGAAGAGAAGAAGATGCAGGTAGAGATCGTTAATGGCGAGGAAGAAGAGGGTTTTTGGGTTTATTTGCAACAATTTCGGATTTGTGGAAATATAGATAATTTTGAAAAGATTACATAATCCTAATTAAGCACTAATTACCCTTAATCATAATATGGCTATTTAGTTAACATTTCAAAACTTGATAGCCTTTTAATTAAATGTAAACTTCAAATGTCTTTTTAATAACTTCCCCCATAGAAGATTTAGGTATTCTCTTAAAAAGTTACTGCTAATACTAATGAAGAAATCTCATTGCGTTGGGTGCGTTTGATTCATTATTTCTACCTATATTTTCAATCTTATTCCCAAAATATTATTTAGTACATTATTTGAGAAATATTAGGGTTTCGTTTGGTTCAAAATTTGGGGGTTTTGGAAAAAGTTTTTTGAAAAAAGTTAAAAAAAAGTTGAATTGGGCGGGTATTACGATGTAAAATTTATAAATTAATAAAATGCCCCTTATGTTTGTTTTTTTACAAAATACCCCCTATAATAAAACATTAAAAGTTAACAAAAATACCTCTAACCCACCCTCAAACACCCCCAGCCGACCACCACCACCGGAGGTGGCCGGAGTCGCCTTATGGGCTCATGACCGGTTGGATCTTGCTGGTCATGCGCCGATATGGCCTTTTCCGGCCAGATCCACGGTGGATTTGGCCGGAAAAGGCCAGATCTGGCCGTATTTGCTCTCAACGACGGCCAACAAACGGTCGTCGTTGATGGTCAACGACAACCGTTTGTTGGCTGTCGTGACCGAGTGTTACGGCCAAAGATCTAGCATTTTCCGGCCAGATCCACGGTGAATCTGGCCGGAAAAGGCTAGATCGGCGCACTACCAGCCAGATTCAGCCGGTAGTGCACCATCCTACCAGATTCCAGCCATTTTCCGGTGGTGGTGGCCGAAATCTGGTAAATGTGGATTGTTGGGGTGTTTTTGTAATTTTAAAAAAAATATTTAGGGGTATTTAATTAAATTAACAAATTTAGAGGGTTTAAAAAAAATTAAATAATATTGAAAATAGTATTCCCAAAAAAGAGAGTTTTTGGGTATT